CCTGGGGCTAGAGCATAGCTACAATCTCTGGGACCCAGCTGTCTTATAAAACACATGTTAAATGGGTGTTAAGGAGTCATTGGAGAGGCTGGCATTGTGGTATAGCAGGTAAAACCACCACCTGTGACACTGGCACCCACAAGAGTATGGGTTTGTGTCCCAGCTGCTCCAGTTTCAATTCAGTTCCCTGCTAAAGGCCTAGGAAAAGCAGTGGAAGATGACCCAAATGTTTGGGCCCCTGCCACCCACAAGGGAGAACTGTGTGAAGCTCCTGGCTCCTGATTTCAGCCTGTCTCAGCACTGGCCACTGTGGCCATCTGGGGAGTGAACCAGCAGATGGAAGATCTTTCTCTCAGTCTCTCCTTCTCTCTGTGTAACTCTGACTTTCAAAATAAATAAATATTTTTTAAAAAATTAAAAACTAAAAGTTATTGGATATTATTTATAGTGAAGTACCTGTTCCAAGTTTTTTGATACCTTTTTAAAGTTACTTTTAAAAATTTGCTTTCATGTTATTTGAAAGGCAGAGAGACAGTGAGAGTTCTTTTGTTTGCTGGTTCACTCACTAAATGCAGGCAACAGCCAGGGCTAGGCCAGGCTGAGGCCAAGGGATCTTGGCTGGCTCTCCATCTGGGTCTACGATGTGGGTGGCAGGGGACCCAAATGCTTGAGCTGTCGTCAGCTGCTTCCAAGGTGCATTAGCAGGCAGCTGGATTGGAAGGGGAAGAGCCAGGACTTGAGCTAATCTGTTATGGAACATGGGTGTTCCAAGTGGCATCTTGGCTGCTGTGCCAAATGTCCACCCCTGGTCTTTTCTAACTTTTAAGGGGTCATTTGCTTTTTTCTTAGTGATTTTTTTTTAGAAACCTTTTTTTTAATCACTACAAATTTCATGGGTACAGCTTTAGGGATATAGTGGTTCTTCTCCCCATAGCCACCCTCCCACCCCTATTTCCTAGTGATTTATATGCATTCTTAAAATTTTTACACTGGGGTGTGGTGGACTACGCTGCCTATGGTGATGGTATCCCGTATGGGCACTGGTCTGTGTCCTGGCTGCTCCACTTTTGATCCAGCTCTGTTGTAATGCCCCTGGGAAAGCAGCAGAGGATGGACTAGATACTTGGGCCCCTTCCCTCCATGTGGGAGACCCGGGTGAAGCTCCTGGCTCCTGGCTTCAGCCTGGCCCAGCCCTGGCCATTGCAGCCATTTAGGGAGTATACTAGCTGATGGAAGATTCTCTCTCTCTTTCTCTCTTGTTTTCTGTAACTTTGCTTTTCAAATAAATACTTCTTAAAACATTATGCATTGTGGATTTTTCAGTCTATGTCTTGAAATTAACTTTCTTAATTGTGTCTTTTGAGGATTTGTTGTTTTAAATATTCCTTTTATGGTGATACAGTGAAGACAGAAAAACAAAGAGGGATAAACAGAGACTAGATGGGACCATCCAGGGCTAAAATATTTTCTGTCTGGCCCTTTTCAGAAAAACAAAATAGACTAGACTAATGAACTAGAACACTAGACTAATGAACATGGCTGCAATGAAAACTTCAGTGACTTTAGTTGCCACCACTATTGTCAAATCTGCTTTAAAATATCCATGATGTTGGTGAGTAAACATTGGAATATTGAGTCCAGGCACTAAAGCTGGTATAAACTCATCTGCATGACCTTGTATCCTGGCTGATACAGCCAGTGGAAGCTGTTACACTACTTTTCCCTCTCACCACATTTTATGTAATGTATCTAATTGGAGGAATCTAATTTTCACACAGAACCTTAGCTTCAAAGGAGTTTAGAAATGTACTTTTGAACATGATCTCCAAATAGAAGAGTGAGGATCAGAAGTGCCAATCTACTGTATCTGCCATTGCACCTGGAGTTATTTTTAAACAATTGATACTATTGTATCAAAATAGTCTACTAAGAAAATTTCCATATTGCCTACTCTAAGGATATGATTTCTAATAAAGGAAATAGCAATAATAGCAAACTTTTTACCATTGGCCAGTTATAAGCTCTTTACATCGTGTATTTTATGCACTTTACATCCTTATTTTACTTACTTTTATAATGATCCTATAAAGTAGGTAATATTATTACCCCTATGTTCAAGTGTGAAAACGAAATCTTAGAAAAATTAAGCACAATAATCCCTTAGTATCCATAGGGATTGGTTTCAGAAGATTTTGCAGGTACCAAAATTCATGGAGATTCAAATCCCTTCTATAAAATGGCATAGTATTTGCATATAATGTGTGCACATCCTCTCATATCCTTTAATTCATCTCTAGATTGTTTACAATGACTAATATGCAAATAGCAGTTACACTGTATAGGGAATAACAAGAAAATACATACATATGTAATACAGATGGAAATATTTTTCTGACTATTTTTGATGTGCAGTTAATTGAATCTGAATGCAGAGGGCCAACTGTAGTTTGCTCAGGTGTGCATGAGCATTAGAGCTGGGAGTCAAGCTCATGTGCATCTGAAACAGCACTCTCTAGTGCTCTAAGCCTGGGTAATCTTACAATTCAGTGAGGTTAACAATGAGATATGTGAAAACAAAAACAAAAATTGTAGATTTTAAGTTCTCTGCCTTTACCAAACATACCCCAAATCATAGAAAAAGGTCAGTGAAATTAGCATCCCATTGGAGAGGTAGGCATGTGGTTCAGGGGTGAGTTAAGTCACTGCTTGGGATGCCTGTACCTCTTACCGCATGCCTCTCTCCAATACTCTCTCCTGCTCATGTGCCACCTAGGAGACAGCAGAAGATGGCTTACATACTTGGGTCCCTGCTCCCCCTGCTCCCAGCTTTACCTGGCCCAACCCTGGCTGTCACAGGCATTTGGGGAATAAAATCACTGGGTAAAAACTCTGTAGGTCTTTCTCTCTCTGCTTGTCAAATGAAATAGAAAAAAAAATTTCTCTGGAGAGTCTAACTTTGTCCATAGATTTTTTTTTTATTTGACAGGTAGAGTTATAGACAGTGAGAGAGAGAGACAGAGAGAAAGGTCTTCCTTCCATTGGTTCACTCCCCAAATGGCCGCCACGGCCAGAGCTGCTCCGATCTGAAGCCAGGAGTCAGGTGCCTCCTCCCAGTCTCCCATGCGGGTGCAGGGGCCCAAGCACTTGGGCCATCCTCCACTGCCCTCCCGGGCCACAGCAGAAAGCTGGACCAGAAGAGGAGCAGCTGGGACTAGAACTCGGCGCCCATATGGGATGCTGGTGCCACAGGAAGAGGATCAACCAAGTGAGCCATGGCGCCGGCCCCTGTCCATAGATTTAATAATTACATATTAACTGATGTCGGGTAAGTGTCCAGAACACTGCTAAGTTCTGGGGAAACTGAATGAGACTCTGTTCCAGTTGTTAGGTGATGAGACGGAAACATAACCATATATGATAAATTTAATGAGTTTTTTTTTCTGGTGAGCACTTTGATGACACTCCACTATTGTTTCTTATCTTTAAGTACCTGAAATGTACAGAATAGTGTGTGTTTATGGAAAACTTTTCAACTTTTAGTTAGTGATAGCTGTTACTTAACTGTTCAAATTCAACTTGGTTGAGGCATAATTTCCATGTAATAAAATGCACTCATTGTTGTTTAAGTCTTTTTGAGACACACTTCCATGTCTCTAGGGTAAAAAGCTAAGGGTGGAAGTGCTGGGTTATATATCCTCAGACATTTTTCGAATGTGATTGTGTGGGCTGAGTAATTGAAACTGTAAAAGGTGAAACTGCACATAGGGGAGGACTATTGTAGTTGGGTTTTGCTTGCACTGCCTTTTAATTGTGGTATTTAGAATGCCATTCTTAATGAAATTAATTCCATGGCTAGCTGTAAGTTTAACATCTGGTTTTGTCTGTTCCAACTATTTTTTTTTATTTTGCTTTTGCTTTTATTTTTACACTCTTTTGGATTAATTCAGGATTTCCAAGGTGGTGTTTTTTTGTTTTTTGTTTTTTTTTTTTTAGAGGCAGAGAGGTAGACAGAGCACTCCCATCTGCTGGTTCACTGCTTCAATGCCCAAAGGCTTGCAATGGCTGAGGCCCAGCCCAGTACTCAATTCAAGTCTGACACATTGGTAGCAGGGACCCAATCACTTGAGCTGGTCTGGGCCTGTCAAACGTGCCACAAGTTTTCAAAGGATGTGACCAGTGACTGAGGACACAAGGCTTCAGACTAGCGACAAATTATGTAGCTAGCTTAGTACCACAGACCCTCAAGGCCATCTGCTGCAACTCCTCAAGGCCTCAACTTTACGTCTCAGGCCCACAAAGGAGCTGGAGAAGGAGCTGCGAGAGGCCAGGGGGTGGCAGAAATGTGAGGTGACCCGGAAGACAAAGGAAAAGGTGTTTCCTCATGGAAGGCAGTGGTCAGCAGTGTCTAAACAGGACCTGGATTGCATAACCTCCAAGATTGTAAGGTGTCCCTGGGGTCTCGTGACAAGGAAGTTCAGTGAGGCAGGTGGTGGCAGCTGAACTGTGACTACAGCGGCCTTACCTGCTAGGGGAGGTGGGGAAGGAGCATTGGGATCTTGGAAACAACACTGGCACGGGACAAGGACAAGGGCGGGGACTCCTCCCTTCCCCGGCCCAAATGCACGGGCCTTCCCTGGGACGGAGGCACGAGGCATGCTGAGGTTCAGGAGCAGGTCCAGCAACTAACTTCTCCAGGCACCACCGTCTGCCGCAGCCCCAGAGGCTCAGCAAGGAGTTTGTGCCAAGAGATTCGAGACCATCGAGTGCTCTTTCGACGCCACCTGAGGAACGTGCTCTGGTTGCCCAGCCTTCCCTGGGCTTCCGCATCAGCCCCCACCGGAAGTTGCTAGGAACCAGCCAGCAGGGCGCAGCGATTCTCGGGTGACGCCTCTGCCAGAGGCCCCAGGGGGCGGTGCACTGAGGTTCCACTAGCGGTCCTTTAGGTGGCGCCCGAGAGCCCGCAGCGCGGGTGTGGTCACCCGCCGCGGAGCTGAGCGCGGGCGCCCCCGCCAGGCAGTTGCGGCAGGCGCGCACCTCACGCAGCCCGGACGTCGTGGGAGCGGCGGCAGGCGGCGCTGTGCCGGGGCCGGGGCGCCCAGGCGAGGCCGCCGTGGTCGGCGCTAGACCGGCCATGCTGCGCTGGCTGTGGGGCTGTGTGCTGCCCGCGGCGGCCTGCCAGAATAATGACGATTACTTACGCTACGGCATCCTCTTCGAAGACCTGGACCACAACGGGGACGGCGTGGTGGACATCTTGGAGCTCAAGGAAGGGCTAAAAAACTGGAGCTCCTCGTTTGGGCAGAACTCGGAGATGGTGAGCCACCCGGGGAGCTGGGCGCCGAGCGAAGCCAAACCCGCGGCCGCTGAGGCTCCTTTCCAAGGCGGGGAGGAAGGGTGGGGTTCTCCTCGGCCTCGTCTTGCAGCGGAGCGCGGCCCGGAGACCGCCACCCATCCTTCCCTCCACGGCGAGGAAAGCCTTCTGGACTTCTCGGCACCTGCGGAGTGGCTTCTGGAGATGGGTCCAAATTCACCCCTCACAGAACTTGGGGGACATGTTGGCCGTTGTGAATTCATCAGGACAGGGTCGTCTCTTTCTCAGGAGCTCCTCCCGTTGACGGGCACAGATGGGTGCCCCAGGGCTGCTCCCTCTCTCACACCCACACCGAGGCTCTGGGGGAGTCAGACCTTGGGCTCTGGTTTACACTTCAGCTAGGGCTGTCTTCTTATTCTAGCCTGGTCTTGACTATTTTAAAAGTTTGTAAATGGAATTTCAGAATATGAAGAGAAGGAAATTTATTTTCCCTCTAACAATGCTAAGCAGTCTTCAGAGTTTATATCCGCTGGTTGCAGCTTTTTCATTTTTGCAATAATGTAATTTCAATTTAATTTATAATCATAGACTTAATGCACCACTATAAATAATATTCAATAAGTAAAAAGTAGAAAGACTACTGTTCCACAAGAGTATAGACAAGGGCTAAAAACGATAATCAAATCATGTCAGCTTCATTCATATATAATTTTTTTTGTTATTCTATATTAACTAGCACATAACAGAGAAGACATGATATTTGCCTTTTTGGGATTGGCTTATTTCATTACACATACTTTTTATAATTGCTCTAGTTAGAGCTTTTAGTATTATATTGAATAGAAGCATTGAAAGTAGGTCTCTTTGCCTTATTCCTGATCTTAAAGGAGTCCTCTTTCAGTCTTTCACCATTGTATCTGATTGTTCACTGTAGGTTTTTCATATGTGACTTTCATTATGTTGAGATGGTTTCTTTATTTTCCTAATCAATTTAGTGACTTTTTTTTTATCATTTTGTCAAATGCTTTTTCAGCATCAGTTGAAATGATTGCATGTTTCTTCCCTTCATTCTGCTAATATTATATGCCACATGCATCAATTTTCTTATGTTGAACCATACATGTATTCCAGGAATAATGCTCACTTATTATGATGTATAACCCTTTCAATCTGCCACTGAATTTAGGTTGCTGTTATTTTGTTGAGAATTTTTAAAAAAGATTTAATTATTTTATTTGAAAAGCAGAGTTACAGAGGCAGACACACACACACACACACACACACACACAGAGAGAGAGAGACAGAGAGACAGAGAGGGAGAGAGAGAGATCTTCCATGCACTGGTTCACTCCCCAGATGGCCACAACAGCCAGAGCTGTGCCAATCTAAAGCCAGGATCCAGGAGCTTCTTCTGGGTCTCTCTCACAGGTGCCATCATCTACTACTTTTCCAGGCAATAGCAGAGAATGGGATTAGAGGAGGAGCAGCTGGGACTTGAACCGGTGCCTTATGGGGTGCTGGAGCTGCAGGCGGCGGCTTTACCCGCTATGTCCAGTGCTGGCTCCTTTGTTGAGGATTTTTGCATCAGTGTTCATAAGGGATATTGGTCTGTAATTTTCTTTTCTTGTAGTGTCTTTTGTGTTGAGGTAATGTTGGGCTAACAGAATGAGTTAAAGAGTGCTGCCCTTTAAATATTTTGGAAAGATTTGAGCAGGATTGAGATTAGTTCTCTAAATGTTTGGTAGAATTCACCAGTGAAGCCATCAGGTTCTGTGCTTTTCTTTATTGGGAGCTTTTTTAGCTACTGATTCAATCTTCTCATTAGATATATGTAGATATCCTATTTATGATTTAGTCTCAGTAGGTCTTATGTATCTAGTTTATCATTCTCTTTTAGGTTATTCAATTTGTGTATAATTTTTCATAGTGCTGTTTTATCAATCTCCTTTTATTTCTGTAGAAGTGATAGTAATGTCCTCTCCCAGTCCACTTTTCATTACTTCAATACCTGAGAAGCACTTCTCTGGAAAAGAAAAGGTTTGTTTCAGTTTACAGTTGAGGTTACATATTCTGGCATCTGATGTCAGCTGATGATGGCAAATGCAGAGGCACAATTATCCTGGTGAGCCAGGAAGGGGGAGGAAGAACCAAGGCTGACCTGAACTGAAAGAATCAAACATCTCTTGAGAACCACCCTCTGAGGGCACATCCCCAGTGACCCAAAACCTCCCATTGACCCCACTTCCTAGCCACCACAATTAGATCAAGTCTTAACCCTTACTCTTTACTCCATCAACATGAACATTAAAACATCAGAGTTTGAACAAAGCTGTGTGAGTTCAGGAGTGACAAATCCTACTCAACCCATAAGGTGTCCCTACTTTAATTTCTGATTTATGTAATTTGAACTTTCTTTATTTCTTCATTAGTCCATCTAGTGAAAGATTTTTCAATTTTGTTGATTTTTTTGAGAAACCAACTTTTAGTATTTTGGATTTTCTGTTATATTTCTTTTCTTTATTCCATTTGTCTCTACTCTAATCTCTATGTCCCTCCTTCTACTAGCTTTGGGTATAGCTTGTTCTTTTTTTTTTTTTTTTGACAGGCAGAGTTAGACAGTGAGAGAAAGAGAGAGAAAGGTCTTCCTTTTCCGTTGGTTTACCCCCTAAATGGCCGCTATGGCCGGTGCGCTGCGCTGATCCGAAGCCAGGAGCCAGGTGCTTCCTCCTGGTCTCCCATGCAGGTGCAGGGCCCAAGGACTTGGGCCATCCTCCACTGCCTTCCCGGGCCACTGCAGAGAGCTGGACTGGAAGAGGAGCAACTGGGACAGAGTCCAGCGCCCCAACCGGAACTAGTCTTCTTATTTTCTCCTCTTTTTACACTTTAAATATGTGAAGTTCACTTTTGTGTGTATTTTTTAAATTACTATAAAGAGAAAAGATTTAACGCAGTTCATAGGGATTTTTTTCATTTTCTATTTTCTTAAGTTGTAAAGTTAGATTGTTAATTTGAGGTCTTTCTTCTTTTTTGTGTAGGCATTTATCTCTGTAAACATCCCTGTTAGTACCATTTTGCCATATCCCATAAATTTTGATATGTTGTATTTTTGTTTTAACTTAGAAGATTTTTCTAATTTTCCTTATGATTTTTTTTCTTTTATCCTCTTAGTTGTTCAATATGTGCTAATATTCACTTATTTGTGAGTTTTCCTTTCTTCTGTTGATTTTTGGCATCTTTCCATTGTGGTCAGTTGAAATATTTGGTATGATTTCAAATTTCTTCTTAGACTTGTTAAGACTTTTTTTGTGACTTAGCATATGATTTCTCCTGGACAATATTCTACATGCCTTTGAGAAGAATGTGCATTTTGCTGCTGTTATATAGCATATTCTCTATATCCCTATTAGAGCTCGTTAGTTTATTGTGTTTTTTCAATTTCTCTACTTCCTTACTTATTTGTTGTTTGAGATATTATTAAAGTAGGGTATCATGATCTCCAATTATTATTGTGTAATTATATATTTTTTCTTTCAATTCTGTAAAGTTTTGCTTTATATATTTTACTGACCTGTTACAAGGCATATAAATATTTATAATTGTATCATCTTGATGTATTTAACCAATTAGTATATAATAATAATAAAGATGATGACAATAATAATATATATTATTTATCTTTTGTAAATCTTTTTGGTTTACAGTCCTTTTTGTTTGATAATAGTATATTTACCTTGCTCTTTTGTGATTACTGTTTACATAGAGTATCCTTTTCATGCTGTCATATCCAACCTACATGTATCTTTGGATATATAGTGCATTTCTTTTAGATAGCATATAGTTGGATCTTATTTTTTTTTGTTCATTCTAATAATCACTCTTGATTGGAAAGTTAATTCCTTTACATTTAAGATTGTTACTAATAAAAACTAATTAATACTAATTGTAGTTACTAATTGTAGTTACTAATTGTAACTACTACTCAGTCATTTTGTCCTTCATTTTCTAAATTACTGTCTTCTTTTATAAAATGTTGATTTATTAAAAATAATTTTTCTCATATATTTATTTATTTGAGAGGGAGATAGAGATAGAGTCAGGGAAAGAGAGAGAGAGAGAGATACAGAGAGAGATTCATATGCAATGGTTCACATCCCAAATGCTCACAACAGCTGCCCAGGCCAAGCCAGAAGCCAGCAACTCAATACGAGTCTCCCACATATGGCAGGGACTCAGCTGCCTAAACCATCACCTGCTGCTTCCCAGGGGACATGCTAGCAGGAAGGTAGAATCAGGAGCATAGCTGGAGTTCAAACCCAGGCATTCTAATTTGGAATTCCAAAGCAACTTCTAGACCAAATGCCCATCCATAGTTTATTTTTAATATTGAAATATTTAAATTCTGTTCTCCTTTCCTTTTATGGACATTCTATAGCTATCCTTACATTCAACATCCTAATTAATGCACTCTAATTTTAATTTTAATTTCTTTTAATTTTAAAGACAGAGAGAGAGCGAGAGCAGAGAGCAATCTTCCATCTGCTGGTTCACTCCCCAAGTGCCCACAACAGCTAAGGCTGAGCCAGGTGAAAGACAGGAGCCCAGACTCAACCCTGGTCTCCCATGTGTGTGTCAGGGACCGACTACTTCTGCCTCTCAGATTATGAATTAGCAGGAAGCTGGATTGGAAGCAGAGGAACTAGAACTTTTGAATGAGGCACTCCTGGATATTAATATTTTATCAGTTGCATAGTTTGTAATTAATTTCTCCCATTCTGTCAGTTGCCTCTTGACTTTCCTGAGTGTTTCTTTTGCTGTGCAGAAGCTTCTCAACTTGCTGTAATCCCATTTGTCAGTTTTGTCTTTGATTCCTTGTGCCTCTGGGGTCTTTTCTAAGAACTCTTTGCCTATCTAATGTCTTGCAGAGTTTCCCCAGTGTTTTCTAATAATTTGATGGTATTAGATCGTAGATTTAGGTCTTGGATCCATTCTGAGTGGGTTTTTGT